AAGATTTTGGCAAATGCTTTTACTCTTTGAATCTCCACACTGTTTACTTGCTTGCAGTCAAACAGCTGCTCAAATAGATAGACAGACAGATACTTTATTGATCCCACAAGGGAAACCGATTTGTTACAGCAGCATAATAAAGAGTAGAAATGTTACAGTCTACAATAAACAACACAGTTAAAAATAAAAGTGCGACAGGTGGCTGGTAAGGGCCTTATACTATGAGATAGTGCAGGAATTAATAAATTTACTACAGTGATAAACAACAAAAAAAGTCAAATTAAGTCAGTTAAAAAGGTCTGAGGGAGAAGGAGCTCTGCTGCCTCTTGAGTGTGGAGTGGAGTGGGTGTGATGAGTTGTCCATGATGGAGAGCAGTTTGTTCAGTGACCTCTGACGCTAACGGACTCAAACGCCTCCACATTCTGACCAATGATGCTTCCGGCCTTCTGGATTAGTTTGTTGATCCTCCTGGCATCTCTGGCACTGATGCTGCCCCACCCACCAGATAACAGCAAAACAGATGGCACTTGAAAGGATCTCCAACATGTTGCTGCAAACATTAAATGATCTGAGCTTCCCTAGAAATCGAGCAATGTGGTTTTCCATCATTGTTCAAACACTACCCGCCAAACAGAAACCAGAAAGCCTCACGTCAAAAATACTTTGTGCCTTGCGTTCAGATTGGGCATATTCATAAGCGTGTACATAAATAAATATGTTTGCTCATAAACAGCCTTAACATTTGATATTTCAGTCTTCCTTCCAGCGAGATCCTCGCGGCCCTGTCACCCTGGACAGGTCCTCCTCACCTGCAGAGGTGCAAGCCTGGCTTGAGTACAAAGGCTTCTCCAAAATGTGAGTGGCATTCTCCACGGAGCAACAGACAAGTTCATGTTTGCAATCTATATAACACTTGCATTTAATGTCATTTTATTTGTTCTCTTGTACAGCACTGTCAGGAGCCTCGGGGTGCTGAGTGGACAACAGCTTCTGGGAATGAATAAACAAGAAATAAGGACTGTGTGTCCAGAGGAGGGAGGCAAAGTCTTCTTCCAGCTGCAGGCTGTTAAGTCAGCCATTGCAGTAAGTAAATTTGTTAGAATACGCACACACTCACAGTTAAATGTTAGCATGTAAGTAATAATTCATCCTGTTTCCTGCAGCTGGCCAGTGAACCGTCAGGCATGTACAACGGCCGCTACTAACGACCTGCGTCACTGCGCCGGCCCTTCGGATGTTTCTCATGTGTGCAATTAAGGGTGTTGAATTTAAACTGTCTGAATTGATTTCGCTATTTTTCCATAAATTAAACTGTAACAAATGTTGATTTGCTGTTTGAAGTGGCAAACTCGAAGATTTTAATTTTCAATGAGCATGCGCAGTGCTCGCCATCAAAGGTAAAAGTCCATTGATGGAGTGGTGGGAACAGTACTCAGACGCAAAGGTGGATGTCAGAGACAGAGACAGAGACAGATGCAGAATGACATCATTCTGCATCTGTGTGGTTACTGTTTGCCTAGCAACAAGTCCAAAGTGGACTGGAAAAAATGCTTGTGGACACAAATGAAGAACGGAGGTTTGGAGTTGTCTTTTCAGGAAACTGGACAATGCAATGGAGAATTTAACCCATGATGAGCCTGCTGATTAAAACAATGCAACATTAATATATTTGCAGGATTAAAAACATTGTTTTTGGTAGTGATCTTCCTTAATAGAACGCTGTATTAAATTATTATTAATTTTAATTAAGCATTTTCTGCTGCAGCTTGGCATGAAAAGAATTTAACTGGTAAAACAGTCAGTCAACAATTTTCTGCTACTATTCACCCAAAAAAACAAACCAAAAAAAGCCAAGAAGTCATTTTCATCCACATCAAACTGTTAAATGAGCTGCACAGCTCTTCAGTGAGGATACTATTTGCTTTCACTGCACCCTGCTGTTCACAGACTCGTACTGTGCAGCATAAAGTCAGATCACAGCTACTTACAAAATGATGGACCAATTTATTCAGTTATTTCCTGACCAGTAAGCACAGCTGCTGCCTGAGGTATACGAGTTTGCCACTTTCAAAGGAAGCGTCTATATATATATATATACATAAAACGTATCAATGACAGCAATTAATTGTCAGTTACTCAAATATTAGTTTATACCGTAATCTTGCTTTTTTGTGCTTCCAGTAATTTCGACTTTGTATAGTTTTTCCTGATGAAATAAAACGAGTACGTATGTAAACAATGGCTTCATCCAGCATTTGCCTCATTGACTGTGTCGTGTGTGATCAACAAAAACATGAGAAACAATCGTGTGTTTTGTTGTGAAAAAACTGAATCGCCAAAACAGAAAAGTCAGAACAACCGTTTCTTTAATCTGTTTAAAAAAATGTCCTTGTGATCAGTGCAAATTATTATTTTTCCCCCCACAAACCTAAAACCATAACTGAGTTTAATGGCTTGAACATATTTTTGGCAGTGTAATGTGATTAAAGCAGGGTACAAGCAAAGTTAACATTGATGTTATTTCAGCGGTTGCATTAATAACATTTTTCAGGACTTTCTCGGCCTTGTTACTTTCCCCACTGGGCCATCCTGTTGTTTATCGGACCCTTCATGAATCTTGGTGACTTCATGTAGGCAGCAATCCTCTCCAGAGCCTACAATGATATAGGAAGACATCTGGTTAAAAAACAAAGCAAAAGCTACCTACCGGTGAGTTTCAGTAATGTCATTGACGTGGGGGGTCAGGGAATGAAGCCAAAGTGACTGAATAACTTTGTAGTATATATTTGAGAAAATACAAAGTGCAAGTTGCACTGATGGTATCTGATGAACACTGAAGTCTTCTCACCTCAAAACGTTTCATTAGATCATTGAGGTTCTTGAAGTTCTCCAGGCATTTAGGCTCGAGGGCCCTGTGTTCATCCAACAGCTCGTACATAACGAAGTCCACAAAAGTGATCTGTTGATGGCAGCAGAATTTATAGTATAATCAAACAATAATTCATGAGCACCATTAAACTTAAAGAAAGCCGGTCCTCTCTGCGAAATTTTATAGCCTATCAAAGTTCAACATTTTGTTTTCCATCCACAAACTTACTGTCTGGTTCGCTTTCATCGCTCTAATCATCTCTAAACAGCCCAGGTGTTATCAAGAACCGGTATTTATGGAAGTTTGTTTCTACCACTTAAAAAAAACATTTTTGCCATTTACAAATACAAACTTTGGGTTATTAACTCCAACTTTTGGACTATTGAAATAATAACCTGACTTTTGATAGATGGCATTTTCCCCCAGTGGTTTTAACAAGCTTCCATAGTAGTCTTGGCTCAGGCAATAAAATGTGTTAATGGCTAATTGCAGAGTCAGCAGTTTGATTTTTGTAATGCAAACATCCCCCCTGACTCCTGTCCCACAGAAACAGGTGACAGTTTAGACTTGCATCCACAATGCTGAGCACTTCAGTGGAAAAAACAGCCTACACCGAAATTCCTTTTCTTTTCTTTTCAAATTCTGCCCCCTAGTGTGGGCACTGAATACAAAGCAAATACAAGCGCAGCTTCATAAAACGACTCTCCTTTCTTGTTTATGGAGTAGCATACCTTGTCACCAACAAACCACTTTCTTCCTCCGAGGAAATCCGAGAACTGCTTCAGTGTACACTGCAGATTCTTCAGGTACTCTGGCTTCTGATCCTGATGTCAGAGAAATGAAATTGGCTTTAGTAGAAATTAGCAGTTCTAAAAATGAATAATTTTTTCTTTCTTCTTTAAAATTTAACACGCACAATGTTTAAGTAGGTCAGCTTAATAAAGGCAAGCCTGAGGTCCATGGCCTGATTCTCCAGGACGTCCACTCGGATCTTTTCATCCTCAGTCTCTCCACCTGTTATCAAACAACACCTTAGAGGTCCGAGTTACTTAAAAGCATTGGCAGTATTAGTTTGTCAATTAATATAATGTAAAAATCTACAAAGAAATTGCCTCTTTTGAACAAAGTATTAATTTTTTTTTATAAATTTTTAAAACGTACACATGTTGTGCTTACGAGCAATGTATCTCATGATAGCATTGCTTTGCGGTATTTTCCTGTTTCCATCGACCAAGTAGGGTAGCTACGGTGAGATGTGAATTGCAGCATTAGTGTTAGCCGATGGTTTAAATTTGCAAACTTTCCAAATAATTTTATATTTACAGGTTAAACTCTCTTACGTTGGGAAAGTCCATTCCAAGTTTGAATTTAACGTCAGTCCATTGGCTCTTGTCGTAGTCGGGAGCTGCGTAAGAAAACGTGACGTGAGTAAACCCGATGTTCAGCCCGAATTATGACAGATTTGTATCACTGGGTTAAAATGCTTAGTTACCTTCCCCACAGACGTATTGCTTTTCCTCATACTTGTCTCCGGTGTACTCCAGCAGGAGGCGGATGTGCTGGCCAAGCTGCAAATGTCCAATAATCAGGTGAGACACACGTATCTGTGTTTTTTTAGGCTAGTATACTGCTAGAGTATTTGAAAGTGTGCAATTGGATAGCAACTGGAATCTTGCAGTACTGACTTAAATAATCGTAGTCTCACATGGAACGCAGGAAAAAGATTATTTGCGCATTTACGCACGTGGCACAGTAGCAGTAACTTCAATAACTCACAGATTTGCGTTGTTCTGCACATCCATTTTTAGACAAATTTCTTATTTATAAGGCAGAATAAGGCACCTGGGCTGTATTGGTCCAGAGATCACACATACTGAACCACAGTCAACCTACTCTAGCTTCTAACGGAGGAGTACGTTTCATCAATTCTCCTTCAGACGTTTGCCATGCCAAACACGCGTGTAAGACCTACACTGTGTTATGTGTAGATACGTCATTGGTTCTCTTCGTTTTGGAGGACATAACTTGTGCAGCTCTTGGCAGAATGCAGTTTTCATTATTAAAAATGAATTGTGTGATGAGAAATTAGGAGGTTGGTCACCTGCAAAACTTTTGATCCACATCAATCCATTTTTGCAAATTTCATCTGATTACATCAAAGTGTTCATAGAGTCAACTCTAAAATGAAATAACATGAAAGAAAACCGCCTTGCAACCATCTTAAAGGGTTGGATACTTTAATGCGTAAAAATAAAAGGCAACAAAATAACCTCATTATATCTCTTGGACCTGTTAAAAAGGTCAAAATTAGGAACAGTTGTTTTATTGACAGTACCTTTATTGACCTCAGCTGCTGTTGATAATCTAGATTTTTTTTATTAGCTCTGTTTGATATAATAACTAAACAGCAGTGCTACAACAATCAGTCAGCCTCCTTTGACCCTGCACGCTTATAGGGTGACTTTATTACACTGTAAATACAAACTCAACATTTCCTGGATTTGTTTCAAATTAGGAGCTCTTTAATTCAACAATGAAAGTAGAACTTACCCCGCGAGTATCCCAGTAACCCAGTATCATTGTCATTTTGAATCCCTTTTCCAAATGTAGCTGAGGGAGACCTGGGCAGCTGCGGTGGTGCAAAGTGTGGTTGGTGAGCTGCTGTCTGCAGCCTATAAAAGGGGACAACAGGTGGGCCGTGCTTCTCTTATCTTTTGGTTCATGGATACAGAAAATCTGCTGCATGACGCTGGACTGTGAAGACATTCATGCGTGTGTGTGTGTGTGTGTGTGTGTGTTGCTCTCAATGTCTTCCTTTCATGTAAATGTTTCATCTACACATCTGCATGCTTTAAGATAATGTAATATATGATAATAAATATCCTCCACTAAGAATCTGCCCTGCATGAGACTCGTCAGTGATTGACACAGACTATGTATGAATCTGTCTTTGTTATCAAAGAGATAGCTGAGTCACGGTGAGTCTGCAAATCGGGATTCACAGACATCTAAAGAACAAGAGGAAGACCGATATGAAGTTCATTTTTGCCAAGTCACAGTCCAGTTACCAGATTTACACTACTGTCTTTATCAGAGGACAGACTTTGCACAAGCTGGTCTACGTGCAATCTTGATGTAATTTCTCGTGCCAGATAAAACCTTCGATAAAACAAAGGGTCGTTTTGTTAAACGCGAAACGTAACTTAAATATAAATCTTGTCTTCATTGTGTCCAATACATGCTGACAGGTCAGGTCATCTTTTCTACTCATTCTTATTAACAATGAAAGTCAAACATAAGGAAAGGCACTTAGAAGTCCCAGTAATGTGTATTTTTAACAAACACAACCAGGATTACCGAACCTTTTACAAACAGCACGTACATGTCTCTGGGTGGACACACAATGCTTTGTTCAATCAGTCATACTGATGACACCAGGACCCAAACTGAAAGGAGGAGTTTGTAGAGTTGGTTCTCTTTCAGTTCCCTAAAAATCAAACGAACAAAAAAATTGGTTTAACTTGTGCAAGGACTGAACACGGAGGGAGAGGATCAGCATACGTCACTGACTGTACTATTACTCAGAGATACGTTACTCAAAATTTGATGCATTTCTTAGTTCTTTAATTTTGAAGAGATTGAGGTTTATAATTGGTTTGAGCTTGCTGCAGAATGTGACCCACATCAGGGGTGGAGATGAGCTGGACATGAAAACAAAGCAGTCTTTGTTTCACATCTTTTTACTCGCTCTGTCATATTTCCACAGAGCTCCAATGATTATCAGCTACTAGCACAAGTGGTTACTCCCTGCGTTCTTAATCAATAATGCCCTCTATGCTTGTTACTTTAGAAACCACTTCTAAATGCATTTGCTCTGAGTAAGAATACTTGAAGAATACTGAAGATGGAGAATTTTCGGGGCCTCCTCCAGGTCCCACAACTATTCAACCACGATCTCCATTTTGACTATGGACATTATTAAATGGCCGTTATATCGCATTTTAAACCAGTTTGGCTGCTTTCCACCTCATCCATCTTTTTTGCAGCACCAAAAATATATTACGTTAAAAAGTTCACGACTGGGTGTGTTAGCATTTTAAGTTTCTGTCTGTTCGCTGTAAATTTATTTGCTACATGTAAACAAAAATGTTAATGGAGCAGGTTAAACTTGCTTTATCAAAACCTTTTAATGAACTTGAAGAGACTCACTATAGACAGATAATATAAACAGAAAAGAGAGATGTCCTTTTAAACAATAAAACATGCTGGTGTTTAATTAATGGTTTTCACCTGACTGTAAATTAAGCTTCTTGTTTATCTTTAGAGATAGCTGAGTCATAGTGAAGCTCCACGTTCTGCCTAGTCATGTCCCAGTTACTAGACTCCAATTACTAGACAGTTTTTTTTAATCTGACTTATAAAACCTGCAAGGAAATGATCAGCGAGTAACAGACATGGAAAATAAAATGTAAAATACTAAAAGTAGTAAAAGAGTTAAGAGTAAAAAAAATATCAAATGTTAATGTCACATTTTCTAAGAATATGTAATATGACTTTTTATGGCCAGTTATTTGTTTTGCGCAGTCATGATGATTTCGATCTTTGACCGCTGCATGCTAATAATCAGTTTGTCCTTGAGTCCACGTTAGTGTTTGTGCTCAATCTGAACATATTTTTTAAGCCTTTACTGAGATATTACTGCTAGTGCAGAGGCATAAGTGTGTATTTTGTTGATCTAAAAGTAATATGACCTTAATGGCTTCATGCTGTAGCTTGCTTTCCTTTGCTTATTTTCAGATAGGTGGCCAAACCTGTCATGTTATTTCAAGTTATAAAAGCCTGCTATCTCAGTCTACTCTATCTCTCTGGCAGCCTTCCACTCGTACATGGTCTCTACAACCTTTATTTGCTTGGCACTCTTATGGAACGCTTTCATGTAACATCTCAGTCATCCATATATGCCCTGCAGTCCTGGTGCCTTGAACTTCCACCCTCCATCCTACCTTTACAAAATTATTAATCAACATTGCTAAAATTGCAAGAAATTCTCTCTTTGTACAGTTGATGCAGATGTCTTCCATCTTTGATCAGTCAGTGTTGGAGCCAGTGTACATGCAAACCTTATTATCTGTTAACATTATGAAAGCTTGAAAAAGAAATAAAATACAGAAAAACAGACAGTTCAATATTCTAATCACTTTCTTCTTCTTTTGGCTTCTTCTTCATCTGCCTCCATCTCACCCTATCCATGGTATCCTTTTGTTTCACACCAACCGTCTTCATGTCCTCCTTCACTGCAATCATGAATCTTCTATGTAGTCTTCATCTTCTCCTCCTGCCTGGGTGCTCCATCTTCAACATCCCTTGTTCAATACTGTATATCCACGATACCCTCTCTGCACATGTCCAAACCATCTCAGCCTTGCTTCTCTAACTCTGTTTCCAAACTGCTCAACCTGAGCTGTCCCTCTGACGTACTCATTTCAGATCCTGTCCCTCATTCACACTGATGCTTTGTCTGCTTTCATTCCTCTTGTCTACAGTGCATACCTCCACCTGTCTTTTCACCTGTTCCCTATTGTCACTACAGGTCTGTGAACATAACAGTCCACTGAGACTCCGGCGTGACACCATCTATCAGCCTTTCCATCACCACTGCAAACAAGAAGGAACTTCTGAAGGCAATCCTGAATCTCTAACTCCAACCGCACACTTGACCTGACTCTCTCAGTTCTTGGGTTATGATATTTTAATCATTGTGATAAATTAAAGAAAGAAGCAAGCACCTTGGGCACACTGACTCTATATTTTATTTCTAATATTTGCCCACTAGCAGCTCTAAATACATTCCCATAATGTAGCCTTCTCTTTTTACATGATGTGATATCTTTACATATTTTTGTGCCATTTCCTGATGTAAAAACAGGGAAAGTGGAAAATTAGCTGTTATTTCCCTCTTTAATGTTGTTTGGACCCAAGCAGTAACTCTTGACCGTCCTCTAAAAAATGTTTCATAGTGCTATTAGACTACCTGAAGAAGAAAAGCTATAAAATATACTAAACCATAAATTGTTTAATCAGTACACAGGACGGATAATCTCCCCAGCATGTCTTTAATCGGTACACTGTTTATGGCACACGTATCACATGACCTCAGTCCAAACTCAAGCAGCAATGCTGTACTCTTCCATTAAGAGCCCCTAAACATAAAAAACTAAAAAAAGCACAAAACAAAACGTCAACATCCAGCCATCCACCACCTCACAGCTCTTCATTATGGTGTCCCTAAGCCTTACAAGAGACATAATCTGCCTGCTGTATCCTTGGTCTGCCCTGGGGTCTCAAATCATCTAATTACCTTAACGAGAAGGTGTCAGGTAAGATGAAATGCCTTTTACCATTACAAAAATGTACAGTATTCCATAATGAATGCATCCTGTGTTATTTCTAGTGCGTGCATTCCTAAAGGAGCAAAACCCAAATTAACATATTTTTCCTGTAGCCTACTTATCCAAAAAAACATTTGTGTGAATTTCCCAGTTTTGGAGATATTTGCTGTAAAATGTTTGCTTCTTTGATATAATGCATGTAAATAGGACATGCCCTGTTGTACTTAAATATGTATTTAAATAACTTAAATGAAGCACCAGAAATCATGACCCAGTTTTGCACAACCCCTTTTAAATCAGTTGCAAACAGTTAAATTTATGGGACTATTTTCTTTTTGCTGTCTACATCCACTGTTGAGTGCAGGATCATCAGCAAACTAATGGTAAAAAAAAGCCCATGATAAGCTTACTGATGAAGATATTATATATATATTTGCAGAATTAAAACTGGTAATTATTAATAATTCAAACTTTTAGTATGAGGTAGTCACAGGAAGTGGAACATGCTAATCAGAATTCGGTTTGCACAAATCTTGAAGTTTGGTCCAAACTCCAGCTGCACTTAGACTAGGAGCTGAACTTTGAACTTCTGGCACTAACAGAATCACTAAAGATAAGAGATCTTGCAAGTTCACAGCTGAGGAGAAAAATGTGAATTTTCCTTGGTGTTAATGAGAGCTGGGCAGAGATGTAGGATTTACTATGCAAAATGTAGAGAATGTTTAGTTCAACATTTGTCACACGACAAACAAAAGAAATGTCAGAATTATGGTAACCATTTTGACACAAAGACCAAACATGTTGAAAGATCAAATTCTTGGAAATATTTTAGAGCTTTTTTGTAATTTTGCTTGTCTTCAGGAACAGTTCTCCAGGCTTAACTCATTCACTGCCATTGACGTCTATAGACGTCAATGGCAGTGAATGAGTCAATGGGTTTAACTCATTCACTGCCAATGGCTGGCAGTGAATGAGTTAAAGGACATTCAGAGCACTTATTTCAATATTGGCTGCTTTTTGTTCTCTTCTCTATTAGGACACACAACAATGCCTCATAAATTTTGACAAGATCTTCAACACCACTGGCTGAGATGCAGCCCCAAACCATGACAGAGCTTCCACTGTGTTTTACAGATGGCTATAGGCACTCATTGTTATACCTCTCAGAACTGCCTCCATACATTTTTTTTTTCTAAATCCCCCCTTCATTAAAAAAATGACTCCTTGACAGCCACGATTCCACAGAAACCATTTCTGAAGAGGCTTCATTGGACTGTAGATGGCTCAGATCATGAACCGGATGCATTTTCTGCTCTTGTGCTGCATTAAACTACATCAGATACATTTTGATGGGACTTGCTGTGCAGGACATTACGCTAAGATTGAAACACCAACAAAGAGTCAGAACAAAATTCACTTTAATGTGCCAAAAAGAGGTTATAAATTCTAACAATAAGTGCTTTCATTAGAAATGTTTCAGTACAAATTAGTCCCGACCGCCCCAAATCTGAAATCATTAATGGTTTTACAAACAGCATGTTACGTAATTAAACACCATCAAATCTACCAGTCCGAGCAAAATGACACTTTTTTTTTTCCAGTCATGACTTTGGTGTTAATTTGACAGTTTCATTAATTAACATTTTTCAGGAATTTTCCAGGGCATAAAAGGCACTGTTATTTACTATTTGTTCCCAAATTTGGCCATCTTGTTGTTTATCGGAGCCTTCATGAATCTTGGTGACTTCATGTATGCAGCGATCTTCTCCAGAGCCTGCAATGATATAATGGCCATTGATTAAAATAAAAACACTGGAGTTTTAAGAAACAAAAGGAAATCAACTCCAGAGCCAACACCACACAAAGAAAGGTAAAAAAATAAAGGTTAAATTACATCATTAATGCAAAGACTTTGACTGTTCTCACCTCAAAACGGTTTAAAAAGTCTGTGAGGTTCTTGCAGTCAGCCAGGCATTTGGAATCAAAGAGCCTGTGTTGGTCCAACAGCTCGTACATAATGAAGTCCACAAAAGTTATCTGTTGTGAAGAAAAGTTGCATAAACATGTTAGAAGTAACAGAATCTGTGGTGTAAATCAAACAATAAGTCACCAGCCACGTTAAACCTGCAGAGAACCAGACACTTCTGCAGCTTTATGAAGCCCTAAAACACTATCCACAAACTTACTGCCAGGTTCACCTTCTCCTCCAATTATTTATAAATCAGTTTAAGAACCAGTATTAAATTTAGGCTGCATCCTGCCTAATACTGATGAGCTAGCACAGCATAAAAAGTACAGGTTTTTCTCTGCACAACTAACAAAATAATTTATGTTCACATCTAAACAAACAATGTACAATTTAGAGTGAGAAAAAGGGCCTCAAATTGTCAAATTCTGCCCCCAGTTTGTCTATTAAATTTAAATCTGTAAAAGCAGCTTTAAAACAAGACTCCTCTCATATTTATGGACAGGTATACCTTGTCACCAGCAAACCACTTCCGATCTCCGAGGAAATCGGAGAACTGCTTTAGTGTATTTGGAAGCATCTTTAGGTAATCAGGTTTCATCTCATCCTGAAGAAACCAGAGAGATGACACTAGCGTTAGAGGAGTTTTAGGGAATTCAAAGAATATTTATATTTATGGATATTTTTATTTTAATTAAACACTCACAAAGTTGGTGTAGCACAGCCTCACAAACCCATTTCTAAAGTCCATTGACTGGTTCTCAATGATGTCCACTCGAACCTTTTCACCCTCAGTCTCTCCACCTGTTGTCAAAGTTTACAAGATTCACATAAATAATAAAGAAACTAATAACAGTAATATTAGTTTAACATTGATTTACAATATAACTTGGAAAAAAAATCTTCTCAAACAAAATGCACGCTACTGTACTTACACATGTTGTGCTTACGAGCAATGTATCTCATGATAGCATTGCTTTGTGTTATCTTCCTGTCTCCATCCAGCAAGTAGGGAAGCTATAGTGAGATATAAATTCCAATAATAATGTTAGCTGATTGTTGCATTCTTCACAATTGAATTTTTAGTCGCACTTTAAAAAACTCTTACATTGGGAAAGTCCAGTCCAAGTTTGTTTTTTACATCAGTCCAGCAGGTCTTGTCATAGTTTGGAGCTGTGAGACATTAATTAATTAATTAGAGAGTTATGAGTTTTTTCCCCCTTTAAATCAATAGGCTGAAATGATAAGTTACCTTCCCCACAGACATAGTATTTGTCCTCGTACTCTTCCCCAGTATACTCCAGCAGGAGGCGTATGGGCTGGGCAAGCTGCAAAAAGCCAAAAGTCAGAGTTGAGAGATTTTTTTTAATGTACATTAGCACCTCTGAACTGTAAAGTCTGCATAAGAACGTGGGCAGAGGACATGCATTGGACTTCAGATTTACTGTGGTACAAACAAAATGGGCCAGTGTACACGTTTCATGAATCTGATGCCAAATTTACAGAAGGCAAGAATGTTTCCATGCACATTTTCGTAAATGAAGGACATAATTTCAGAAGTCTTGTGGTTTGTTTAGCTATAACCTGGAAGATTTAAGCCCTGCTGTGATGATGCGTTTGGAGAGAAAAGACTTTCCCCTGTCAGTCCTTCCAAACAAGACACATTTGTTCAGTCTTTTTCCCCATTTATACTCTCATGAACTTTAATATTCAACATGTTCACTGAGGCTTGCAGAATCTTGAAGATGTAGCTCTAAGGCTTTTTGCAGTTTCTCTGAGAATGGCACGGTGTGACCTTGGGGTGAATTTACTGGGACATTCACCCTTGAGAAGTTTAGCTTTTACAGTACTGCACCTGGCGCTGTGAAAACTCTTCACATGCTTGTACATGCCCAGGACACTATAGTTTGGCTCGTGTCACGCCAGCTTCAAAACATCACCCAGGTTTAAAGCTGCAATCGGATCCCTAATTCACTCAATTCTTTGCCACATTAAAGAAAAGAAATAAAATAAAAATATGAAATTAGAGATCATTATGGCTCAACACTTCTCTATGATTACACTAGTAGCCATTAGTTAATTCCACCTAGAGTTACTCACAGAAAAGACAAAAGACTTGCCGAGACAGTTTAGGCTATTAGAAAAGCACATGTTCAGATGGGTATTTTCTGGGTCAATTTGGGGATTTTGTTTGTATTATTTCTGTTATGTTATTTTGTCTGCCTCCTTAACAGCTTAACTTTGTAAATAATTACCTTTCAAGTCAATTGCAGGTGCTTCCAACTGCTTCTTTTGGTGTTGAACTAGAAGTGAACATTGAACACAGACACTGACAGAGCCCTCCTAAGTGTGAATAGTGAACCTGATATAATAAGGATTGTAGAGCAAAGCACAAATGTGGAAGTTCTGTCCAGCTTAAACCAAAATAAAATTAAACCTCTTTTTAAAAAAGTTTTTTTTTTTTAAATAGTTTTACACATATACATAGATAATATATGGCTGTTAAACTATACTGCACCACCTTGTCTTGAGGTAACTTTTAATGGAGCATGTAGAATTGGATTGATCCAAGATTGAGACGATTATAGCTAATTGAAGCACAGGTAAAAGACTTCTTGAACTCCACTTGTGGTGCAGGAAAGACTACTGCAAATATAAACCATGATACATGAAAATGATTCCAATAATCAAAACCCGAAGTAAAACATTTGAAGTAAATCTTCAAATCAGCTACATTGACTTTTACTCTATTCTTTAAAATTACAGCATTATAGCTACAAGTTTGTCTAACAAATAAAAGATCCCTGGTTCGGCCCTAGGAGGAGACACAAATCCCTTCTGGGGTTGTGCCAAGGAGTGCCCCAGGTGCAAAAACTGCAGAATAAAACGTGCTCAGCTACCTGCTCAAACAACCCCCCTGTGAATAAAGAAGCTCTATAGCTGTATCATCAGCTTTAGCTCTAGATTAATTACGAAAAATATTTAAAGCGGCCACAAAGAGACAGTTTGCAGAGCCTTCTGTAATGCAAACTGCACAAAATTCCCATGCCTTATGAAAAAACGTGAACATAACTAATAAATATTTTTATTTTTTTAACGAGAGGCTGTAAGATTAAGCTCTCGTGGCTTGTTCAGATGACTTCATATGCCAGTAAGTCTAGATTAATGGGAGGAGCAGAAATTCATGAGATTTTGCAGACAGCTGAAACCATTTAGACTTGAACTCTGCTCACACGAGCAGCCCTGGCACTGTGTGCACACGTCCCTGTGCTTTGACAATGTAAGAGGTTTAGAAATGAATATGTCCCACACAACTAACCCTACACTAAAGTCTGACTCGTTGAATAATGTAACCTCAAATGTTACTAGCATCTCGGCTCTAAATAGCGTAACACGTCAGCTATCAGGCTACACTGACAAAGATAACAGTTTGTGTAAAGGCACGCCGAGCTCGGCTGTTTTGCAGTTACATAATAACTTAGCGAGCTTCAAACAGTTTCTATAAACAGTTACACATCTTAAAAATCAAACACACTAACGCTATCCGCTAAAGGTTAGACGCCACCGAGGTTTAAAAACAGAAAAATGGCCATGATAAGACGGGAAAATATTTTTGTCGATTAGATGGAGGTTCAGCCGTTGCGAACAACTGCGGGCTGCACACATGGAGTTTTTCAGCTCCCTGTTAGCTCCACTTACCCCACGAATATCCCAGTAAGCCAGTGTCATTGGCATTTTGAATCACTTTCTGAGACCAAATGGAGCCGAAAGAGACAGTAGCTTCTGCAGCGGAGCGCAGGTCTGCACGAAGGCGGGAGATGAGCCAGTGGAGGGGGACAGGCGGAGCAAGTGGGCGGGGCGAACCGGGCGGTCACACATTGCTGCTCTGATCCGGTTCTTCGGTTTATGCATAAACAACTACTGCACGCTATGTGATTCTGTGAATCTCGTGCTAATCTCAGGCTTCTTTGTTGTCTTTAACAGGTTCTTCCTCTTTTACAAACAACATCTTCAGTTCTGCACAGTGCAGGGCCGTGCACAGATGTTTGAAGGGGTAGGTGCTCAATGTTAACGAAGGGCACATAGAACCAGGCTGAATACCAACAAAGCACATTCATCAGGAATATAATATGGAATCGCATCATACTATATCACTGTCATCAGGTGGGGGAATGTAGCCTGTGTTTTACTGATAGGGTTCAATGTTGGTGTTGAGGGGTTGCTGCTGCTCCTGATAGTGCTGGAGGGCAGGGCTGTGTTGATCTGAGACTGTAGACATGGTGGCTGATTAAACAAGTATTATGGGATATTAATAAAATGCAAAGATCGGTAACAGTGCTTGGAACCTTAATGCAACAGATTTTAAAAACGGTGGGAAATAAACTAGGCTCTGTCTGTTACTCACTCTTTGCCTTTCTCCCTACTTCCATCTCCACATCTGATCTGTCACTCTCAACTTGCTGTCCATCTGAGAACAAGGCACGATTTGCTGTTGCATTAATGTATTATTTAATTATCCACACTTAACAACTCTGGCACCTAATCCATAATAGAGTGATGATAGAAAAACGTTAAAGAACCAAACCATTACATTTGTGTTTATTACTCTTTAAATACTTGAGTAATAATTATATATCCATAAAACATGCCCACACACATGCACAATGACATTTACATCTTCTCCATAATGTATATACTATGGCCACAAGTTTGCACCATTGTGCTGATCCCTTATTATTTATTCCTGTCATGGTCCTGAGTCTGACCACTCAGTGTTTTGTGTTTCCTTATATTATTCCATGTTCTTGTTTATTCTGGTCATGTCCTTTGTTAGGGTTTGCCATTTGTTAGGTTTCTGTTCTGTGCCTGCCTGCTCACACTTCTCTGTGTTCCCTCTGTCCATGGTGTCCCTGTGTCTGCTCGTGAATCTGTCTGTTAAGTTCATTGTTTTATTCTGAAAGTCTCTGCCTCATGTGAGTGTGTTCAGGTTACATTTCCCCTGCCTTGTCAGCTCTGATTTCTCCCCGGTGTGTTCCCCTCCTGTCTCCCATCCCTTGATTACTGCTGTGAGTATTTAAGCCCTGTGTGTTCTCCTGCCTCTCCTTGTTCGTCTGCGTTATCTCCTTCCGTCATCCTGTGTGGTTCCCCTGCATCTGTCTCTGTCTCCCTGCATCGCCGTTTGTGTCTCTAGGTTTCAGATTTGTTTTATTCTTAGTTTTCCCAGTTAGGTTTTGTCTGTTCTCGCCATCCTTTGCCTTTTGTTGTACGTCATCCTCCTCAATAAAAGCCCACTCACATCACTAGTGCCTGCATCTTGGGTCCTTTAATAAATTACACACGGCTCGCCCCGCTAGCTGTGACAATTCCTAGTGCTAAACTAACAAAGTAATAAGAACAACAACAACAACAAAAAGTAATACATATAAAATAATGTATTTATGATGATTCAATTTGTTTGGCTATCCATTCTGCGCAAGGCAGAAAGCTTATTAAATGTTTAAATTGTAGAGATACAATAATGTTGCTGCTGTAAAATCAGCCTTTTGACTCTTTTGAAATATGAATCTAATATAATCTGTTTCTTAATGTATTTTCTTTAAAATACAGTGTGTGTGTGTGTGTTTTTAATATCATAATTAGAATAATCCATGATTATTATAATGCCATGAGCCATTGAGCAAAGCATATTACTTGATACAGATACAGTGGCTATTATTCACAGAACAAAGTTTTTAACCAGGCTGTAAACATATTTATTTCTGCTGTTAATTTATTGTAATGGACATGAACATTTTAAATACTCTTTAAATAAAACAAAATTAAATGTTCACACTTCAGATGTTTTGGTAATCGAATTGTTTTACTTGATTGGTTGATGGTAATTTTTTATGGGTGAGATTTTTTATGGGTAAGAGAATCTTGCTGATTCTCCTGGAGTGTCTCGTTTTGATCTGGTTTGTTAACACTGGCCTCTTTTTCTGAACTTGACTGCTGTACTGTCTCATACCGGGCTTGAGAATTGTCTCGTTTGGCAATGTTGGATTAATTTTCTTGTTTCTTTCTTGTGTCTTGCAGAGCCTGCAAAGACTCCTGAAGTAAGATATTTTCTTTTTCTGGAGTTGGTTTTTGATGTTTATGTTCTCCTGGTTTTGCTTCGATGTGAAGCTTTGGTTTTTTCCAACTCATATTTTAGGTTTTGGACCTTCAAATCATTTTTCTTGGAAAGAGCCTCACTGGCGCAGAGTTTTGCTTTGAGCTCTGCAAACTCACAGTGGGCTCTTTGTTCTTATTTTTGTGTTTTCCAACTTCTTCTTCTAGATTTGAGTTTTGAGGAGCTGCTCGTGGTGTTGTTCGATCTCCTCCTGCTGTTTTTTACATTGGACCTCCAAATCAGCTTCTCTAGTGGTTTTCAAGTCTGAAGAGTGTGTGTGGAGCCTCTGTGGTTTGTGTCGAAACCTTCACACTAAGCTCTGCAGCTGTGACAGCTGTGTTGCTGTCTTCAACAGTAGTGTGACTCACCTCAGGGGTGAAGTTCTCCTCTGTATTGCAAAGATCGGTGACAGCACTTGGAACCATAAGAGGAAAGGGACAGGTGCTCAAGCCCCCTCCGCCCCCGCCTCTGCACATGCCTGGCACAGTGCATCCATGAATATGGATGGGCTAAATTATGATTTATAAATCCACTTCATGTAAGCCAACTTTGAATCTTGCATGTGAGACTTTTCGTTTTATTCAGACACAGCTGAGTCATGGTGAGTCGACATATGTCACGGCTGCGATGGCAGACGTGTGGGGTTGTGGTAAGGACCCAAACGCAGGCACTGACGCAGATGCAGTGAGTGAGCTTTACCTAGTGAGGTAAAGAGGATACAGGAGGAACCGAGAATGGCATACAGAGAAACTAGGAAAAACCTAAACTGAGAACACTAACAAAACTGACCTGAAACCTACAGATGGACCAGCAACAAGCAGCAGAAAACACAGGGCTTATATACTCACAGGGGCAATCAGGGAATGGGATACAGGAGGGCAACAGCTGTGAGAAATCAGAGCTGACGAGACAGGGGAAACGTAAACTGAACACACTGACATATAACAAGGACCTTCAAAGTAAAACAGGAAATACAACAGGTATGCACAGACACGAGCTTAACACAAGACATGGCAATAGGGAGGGAACACAAAGACGTGGGACCAGGGCAGGCACAGAGACACAGAACAAAAGGAGCTCGAAATACAAAGCAGAAACAAAACCTGAGACTAAGAAATTCCCAACAAGAATGAACCTAAAACATAAGATAATAATCAAAACCAAAACCACTGAGTCTCTGGACCATGACAACATATTTGGACTCCTACACAGACTCCTACACAGAGCAGAGCCAGTCCAAGGTTTTATGGTTTTACAGCCTTAAGCAGAATTTGAATTAGCACCCCCAACCTCAGCTAAAGCCCATATTATATTATATATATATTATATTGCCCATGATTGTTTATTTCTGTATTATAAATCTAGCACAGGGATGTCAAACCTACTTTTTGTTTCATGTTGTGGGCCACACAACAGGCCACTTTGACCTTTTGTGGACCAGTGAAACTGCCCTTTCTCTCAGTGTAAACTTTAATCCCTGAGATATTTTAATACAGGCTTAGTCTGTAGTCTGCTTAGTCTGCTTATGCCTCTTGCCGGCTCTGATAC